AACTGTTTGAAATTATGGATTCTACAGGCCACATTCTATAAGAAAATTTTTTTTCCGGGTCGATCTGAGACAATTTTTTTTTCGGGGCTCAAAAAAAGGCAGTGTATAACCTTCCTTTTTTACCAAAAATCGACTACACCAAAATTTCTCGGGAAAACACTTTTTCTTATTAATTTTGGTGCGTAGAATCCAAAACAATTCGTACTTTTTCGATCAGACTTCTCAATCAAAAGTTATAGACTAGAAACCAATTTCGAAAGAAAATTCAAAGGGCTGTAACTTTTGAACTAGTAGCCCAATCTTGGAACTGTTTGAAATTATGGATTCTACAGGCCCCATTCTATAAGAAAATTTTTTTTCCGGGTCGATCTGAGACAATTTTTTTTTCGGGGCTCAAAAAAAGGCAGTGTATAACCTTCCTTTTTTACCAAAAATCGACTACACCAAAATTTCTCGGGAAAACACTTTTTCTTATTAATTTTGGTGCGTAGAATCCAAAACAAATCGTACTTTTTCGATTAGACCTCTCAATCAAAAGTTATAGACTAGAAACCAATTTCGAAAAAAAATTCAAAGGGCTGTAACTTTTGAACTAGAAGCCCAATCTTGGAACTGTTTGAAATTATGGATTCTACAGGCCACATTCTATAAGAAAATTTTTTTTCCGGGTCGATGTGAGACAATTTTTTTTTCGGGGCTCAAAAAAAGGCAGTGTATAACCTTCCTTATTTACCAAAAGTCGACTACACCAAAATTTCTCGGGAAAACACTTTTTCTTATTAATTTGGGTGCGTAGAATCCAAATCAATTCGTACTTTTTCGATCAGACTTCTCAATCAAAAGTTAATAATAATAATAATGGTTTTATTTAGTTAACCCGTCAACTAAAACAAAAAAACAAAAAATTAAAAAAAATTAACACAATTATAGTATAAAAAGTAGAGGGCAACTAAATTGGGCGATGTTCAGATACAGACGAGGATACGCCTGATCTGCTCTTCCACACTACCCACTCATCACTATATTTATCATATTAATAATGTTGTGCAATGGACTAACAGACAAAAATTTAAAAAAAGAATTAATTTGTGATAACTACTAACTATATGATGTATAATACATTGGTTCATGGTAATATGGAATAACACAGTAAAAAGATGTTATTGCCGCTGCCGGTCAAGTACGATTTTGCGGACGTATTTTTTAAATTGAGATGTGCTAAGTTTTTTACAAGTGTCAGGAAGCGAGTTGTATAGGTTAGCCACTTGGTACGTAAATGATCTTTCAAACAGAGCCGTTTTGTGATAAGGGGGTGTGTTTTGTGATAAGGGGGTGTGATTAAGTTATAGACTAGAAACCAATTTCGAAAGAAAATTCAAAGGGCTGTAACTTTTGAAGTAGTAGCCCAATCTTGGAACTGTTTCAAATTATAGATTCTACAGGCCACATTCTATAAGAAACAATTTTTTCCGGGTCGATCTGAGACAATTTTTTTTTCGGGGCTCAAAAAAAGGCAGTGTATAACTTACATAATTGTCTGTAGAAATAAGAGTTTTTTGTTACTGATTTTGACCCTGGCAGTAAATATTCCTCCGCCCTTAACTATACCATTATTGACGAGATATGCGTCATAGTGGCTGATTAACATTTTAAAACTAGGGGGTCGGATCAGTAACCATTTCACTTGCTATATCTCTAATGTATCCTACGTCTCATACTACCTCAGAAAGAAGCAACATTTCTTTTTGAAGTAGAATCGTTCAAAAATATTTTTGAATTTTTCTTTTAATCATTTGAACCTCTTGTTAAATATTTTGAATTAATTTTGAATTTTGTTGAATCACTTGGGTTTTTGGAATATCCATCCATGGTGCGTTATATTTTTGAAAAAACAATTAATATGTTGTTTTTTTAGATTAAAGTATAAAACATTTTTTTTTAGATAACTTTTTTATCTGGCACTTATGTTGAAAACGGCAGATTATTCAGCCATCAAGAAACTTTTGTAATAAGTACATATTTTTCTGTATCTTTTTTAATTAATAAGAAAATATAATTGTGAAATTGACAATTTTTTTATTTCCCCCACTATCGATTGTTTTCATTCATTCATTACTTTTTTATACTAACCATTAGGGAGATACCCTACAGAAGTGTCGAAAATGGGACACCCTGTACTTTTACCTCTGTTCAAAAAAAAGCAGTAATAACAACGAACAAAGGAATGGTGTCACTTAGAAAAATTAGAATAATTTGAGATTGCTTTATACTAATCGACCTGGTATTTTTTAGAACGTTAAAAATTACAGGATCTTCTATAAAAAATGTTATTTCGTTGAATATTTCAATCGTCCAAACAAAATTGTTTTACAAAAATCTTAACCGAGAGCTTCAAATAATAAAAAAAATCGCCCGTCCGTCCGTGACGCAAGCAGTCATTTTGTGGCTTTCTCGTTTGGAGTCTTCATGCCGTCTTTGAACCGCTGCTGGCGTTTTGTTTCGGAATATACTTTAAAATAAAATACGATTCCCAACGAGGGGAAATCTCTACGTGTGTTTGGAAGTCACGACATCACGTCCAGCAAAACGGGCAGCAATGACAAATCGGCGCGAATTTACGACACTCCCGGAACGATCTTTCCAAATTAATTGTAAGTAGGCGCTTATAAGCCGAGAATGTTTATATACGGCGCATAAATTTATTTTATGATTAAAGTTACACGTTTTACGACGTACACGGTAGATTTCACTCCATATCATTTCGAATGTAGAGAGAGCACCCTCGCTCCGATGAATATTCAATAGAGTCCTCCATTACGCATGTATGAGTATCATGAAATTTGGTAATGAAGTTTTTAAATACGCACTTTCGGTTTATTTTGAATGTATTTTCAACGGGCCGCCGCTCATTTATTCATACAAATTGCGAAAGCCACATTCGTATTTTAATTGGCTAAAGTAACACAAAATAAGTACATTTCGAACTGTGCAAAATGAGAGTAATTGAAACAATATTTTTAGGGGAATTTTTCGAAAGAATGGTATTGTCCGTCTGTCTGCCTGTTCCTCGTCTAACTAAAGAACGAAAAGAGATAACGATGTTAAACCTAAGAAAAAATTCTAAGGTCAATTTTGGTAGTTTTTGGATTACTCTGGTCATATGCGCATGCGCGCCCCACCCCTTTGCCAACAGGTCTATCAGCTTTGCCCAACAGGGCCAACGACTTTTCCATCAGGCATCAGCTTCAAAATCTTTGTCGACAGGTCCAAGATGGCGAGGTGCACATACGCACATGCCCGGAGTGATCCAAAAACTACCAAAATGGACCTTAGAATTGTCCAAAAGAAATGCCTTTTGGCGATTATTCCGCCCGAACTCCTGTTGCGTCTCTACTCACTCGACCTTTGAGAGCACCTACTCTCCTCCGGCACTCCACTCATGAGATATGAGAAATTATAACCGATCATCATAAGGCGTTGAAGAGGAGGGATGTCTTTGGAAGAAATTAATTCCTTTCGTTGACACCTTTCATTAGAGATCAATGAACAAATACCCCCCCCCCCCCCACAACTCTCCCTATTTCAATAAGGGGCAAGCGAAATCTTGAAAATGATCCTACAAAGATTTATTTCTAAGGAAATTCCCACCTCGGCTCTCACGAATATGGCTACCCTAGGTAGGCTTTAAGAAACGCTCCTAAGGTGGTTGGGCACGAAGACGCTTTCTACGGCGGTTTCAAGAAGGTTCTCAAAACTATTTCTTAGAAGATTCATCCTAAACAGGAAAACACCCAATGGAATCAAAATCCATTTGACCCATAAAAGACCAGATCTGCTTATCGGATTGACTCAGGAGGTATCAACCTAACGCAAGGATAGAAACAAACTCTCGTCATTCAAAAGGAAAATTAATTTAAGACTTAAGTATAGATCAAACCTCGGATCAAACTGATCTACAAATCGTGAAATCAACAACCCCTCGACCCTTAAGGGACCAGATCTGTCAACCTAAGTCAAAAATGGAAACAAGCTTCCGCCATTAAAGGAAGGTTCATTTGAGACCCGTAGATTATATTGACCTGCAAGTCATGGAATCAAAATCCATTTGACCCATAAGGGACCAGATTTGCTGGCTTGATTGACCTTGGACGTGTCAACCAAATTCAAGGAAGGAAACAAACTTAAACGGAAGATGAATTTAAGAACATTAAATCAAAATGACCTTCCAGTCATGGGATCATGATCCATTTGACCAATTAGGGACCAGATTTACCTACCTGATGGACCCAGGATCTAGTAACTTAACTCAGTAATGGACACAAGCTTCCGGTTTTAAAAAGTAAGAGTAAGCTACGATCTTAAGATCCAATTGACCTGAAATCCATGGAATCAATGACCCATTAGGACCAAATCAGCTGACCTGATTCTGGAGGCATGTGAACCTAACTCAAGAATGAAAACAAGTTTCCGCTTTTAAAAATTAAAATTAATTCAGATCCGTAGATCAAATAGACTTGCAAACCATGATATCAAGGTCAATTTGACCCATCAAAGATCAGACCTTCTGACATGATTGACACAGGACATATCAAGATAACTCAAGAATAGACACAAGCGAGGACACAAGCTTAAAAAGTAAGATTCATGTATGACCCGTATATCAAACTTACCTGAAATCCATGGAATCAAGGACCTATTAGGGACCAAATCGGCTGACCGGATTGACCCAGGACATGTCAACCCAACTCAAGAATGGAAAAAGGCTTCCACCTTTAAAAAGAAAGATTAATTTAAGACTCGTAGATCAAATTGACATGCTAGTTATGGAATTAAGATCCATTTGACCGATTGGGTACCAGATCTGCTGACCGGATTGACCCAGGACGTGTCAATTTGAATCAAGAATGAAAGTAAACTTTCGCTTTTAAAAGGGAAGACCAATTGAAGACGTTTAGAACAAATTGACCTGTACGCCATGGAATCAAGATTCATTTGACCCATTAGGAACCGGATTTGTCGACCTGATTGACCCAGGACGTGTTAACATAACTCAAGAATGGAAGAATCCACCTATAAAAAGGAAGATTAAGACCATTCTTGACCTCCCAGTCATGGGATCAAGATCTATTTCACCCATTAGTGAGCAGATCGGATGACCTGATTGACTCAAGAATGGAAACAATCTCCCCCCTCTAAAAAAACACCCGTAAGTCGAACCGGCCTACAAGCCGTGGAATCAAGATCCACATTAGGGACCAGATTAGCTGACCTTATTGACCCAGGACGTGTCAACCTAATCAAGAGTAGAAAATAAACCTCGCCTTTAAAAAGGAAGATTAATTAAGACCCGTAGATCAAATTGACCTGCAAGTTGTGGAATCAAGTTCCATGTGACCCATTATGGACCAGATCTGGTGACCTTATTGACCCAGGACCTGTCAACCTAAGCTTCCGACTTTAAAAAGAAAGATTAATTTGAGACCCTTAGATCAAATTGACCATGGGAACAAGCTTTATTTTATCTATTAGAGACCAGATCGGATGACCTGATTGACCCAGGACGTGTCACCTAACTCAAGAATCGAAATAGATATAATAGATGATGAAATTGACCTACAAGCCATCTAAACAGGATCCATTAATAGTGTGAGTACTGTAGTCCCCTCCACTCTGACGACACTTACATGGCCTGACGTCACATTAAGCGGCTGTGGCGGTAAATTTCAATTTTTGCGGGAGATTTGAAATTTTGTATTTTCCGATGTCGGCCATTTTGTCGCGGTAAGTTTGAATTTGTGCAGGAGGTTTGAATTTTTGAATTTCAGGTCGCCAACGCGATAAATTCGAAAATAAATGTATAGGGTGTTGCGAGAGATGTATACATGGTGAAATTTTGTTACGGTTGCAATGTTCCAGTGCCAAAAGGGCTCTAATTGGTCGGCCATTTTGTTCTGGCGCGGCCATATGTGATGATCCCAGTCACCTAGTTTGATCGAATAACGCAGTTAAGTCAGTGCCCTCGGTTCAAGTGTACAGATTATGAAATAAATGAAATGCTGGTTTGTTGAAAATAATACTCGATTGCTTGACAACTGCCATTTCTGTGATGTTTGCTTTAATACTGCCGTAAAAAACTTTCCATGTTCCGAATTGTATTAGAATAATGTTATTTCTTTGCTTCAGGGCTTACCAGTTTGCTTACAGGTGTTCATTCACATTTAATTTTTTCTACTAGTTAGCTTAATCCAAATAAATCTTTTCTCTAAATACTTTCATTGACTACTTGACTACAAACTATAAACAAACGCATTTGATTTTTTTAGGTATTAGTTCTCTTGAATGAAATTGGGCTACGGCTTGTTGCCGAATATTATTGAGGACGTTTTTTTTTAAATTAAAAGTTACTTGTAATTGTTTTGGATGATACCTAACAATAATTTAATTACTGGGCCACCGGGTCAAGACGGGTCACTGAATAAATCTGGGTCAAAATGGGTCACTGGGTCAAACTGGATCACCGGGTCAAGCTGGGTCACCGGGTCAAACTGGGTCACTGGGTCAAGCTGGGTCACCGGGTCAAGCTGGGTCACCGGGTCAAGCTGGGCCAAACTGGGTCACTGGGTCAAGCTGGGTCACCGGATCAACTGGGTCACCGGGTCACTGGGTCAGTAAACTAACTGGGTCACCGGGTCACAGGGTCACTCTATGCTTGACCCAGTCCAACTCTGCGCACAACAGCACATATCACTTGCTACTTTTGCTTCCTGTATCATTTAACGGTATCGTACCCGTATATCAAACTGCCCTACAAGCTATATGGGATCCAGATCCCTTTGATCCATTACAGCAGATCTGCTGACCTGATTGGCCCAGAACGAATCATCCAATCTCAACAATAGAAAAAAACTTCCGTCTTAAAAAAAGAAAATTAATTTATGACCCGTGGGTCAAATTGACCTGCAAGCAATGGAATCAACGTCAATTTGCTGAGATGGCAATCTAACTTAACTCACAGATTCTTGAAAAAAAGAAGAAATAAATCCCTCGCGAATGAAAACTAAGCTAAGTCATCAGATCAGTTGACCCGATTGTTCTCGAGTGGTGTTGTAAAATTCCCGTAATTTATTTATCGTTGCGAATATTTGAAAACTTTCTAGAACATTCGGGAATCTTCATCTTTTACAAAATATATTGTAACGTCAATTTAATTACATGGTGTATTTTATTTACAATTAATTAAAAATAAATTTATAACAGTTAAAGTATTATTGATCACACACATTTGCACAATTTATAACAATGCGAACGATTTATTACTTCGGCGTTGAAATTTGCTCTTATAGCAGCTCCTCTTTTTCGAAATTTGTCGAACGCTTCCGAACGCTCCCGAGTATTCTAGAATGTTCTCGAACAAACACGTCATATTTCCCGGAAAGGCGGCGTCTCATCCGCACACGTGCTTTATCGCCGATGACTAATCTGTCATGGAGCCTTTTATTCTAAATTTAAAATCCTAAAATAGTCAGTTTGACAGTTCGAGGAACACTTTGATCTATAGATGCAAGAGAAAGTAGAGCGAAAGTCTTCGCTTACAATAAGCAATTCGCAAATGAATTGAAATGAATACAATCGAGTATGGCACAATTTCTCGCGCGTTTAAATTCAACTAAAATTTCGAATGTTTACCTTTAATCGGCGCGTCCTAAAAAATAATCCAATTAAACTCGGCTTCCGCCCCCCTCAAACCCCAAATCGATAGCCCCCCGGAAAAAGAAAGTATTTCGACCTACCTTATATACTCAATCGCCAAACTGATAGTGTCCCTAGGATTAAATATCGTTCTCTCCGTATCTTCGCCTCGCTCCTCGAGGGTTACCTTGGCAGCTAAGTCGGGCTGATCCCTGTAGAAGCGCTGTCGCCTCTTCATTTCGTTTAAAAATAATTCAGGTACTAGTTTATATACAATGTCCTGCAGCGTCTTGTCCAATCTGCAAATTAAAACCGATTTTAAGCGAAAAAAAGACAAAACGCGCGAGAGGCGCAAGCGCGAGCATAACTCATCAATAACTGCTCCCTTCTAATTTTGAACATTCCGTATATTCTTCGCGAGCTTAATTTGCGTGCACTTGACCCGCCCACTGAGAAAGATCGCGAAAAGGGGTTAAAAAAAAGTGTGCGCGTCGCAACAGGTGGAGGAAGAGAAATTATTCGCGAGCTCAACGGTAAATACGGCCAGAAAATCAGAGCCTGCAGCCCTAAGTTTTGTACATTATTAAATCGTCGAGTTTCGGGGGGGGCGCGTCGGTGTTTTATGCCCCAACTGTTGCAGATGTCGATATACTCACTTAAGATTCGGCTTCGCCTTGTTGATGATAACCTCGCATATTGGACAGTAGCTGTGCTTGTGGAGGAACTTTATGATGCAGCTTCTGCAGACTGCAAACGAAAAAAAATTATACAATGGCAAGGAGGTTCTTCCAACAGTCGTAACTTACACGAATGGAGACACTCAGAAATAGTCGTCGCGTCTACGTAATATCCTTTGCATAGGTAGCATGTGAGATGGGGATTAATTTCGACTAGCTTAATTCTTTCAGGTTTCGGCGTCGCGTTCGGCGTCGTCATGGCGATACCGTGGCCGTGGTACTGCTGCTTCTGTTTCCTGAAAATAATCGTCCAATTAATATTGATTAATGCGTTTCAATTTTAACGAACGACCGGAAGACACAAATGCGGGATTGTCATAAAGTATTGACGATACAGGAAACATTTGTAAATGTAAGCTTTCCTCGTGAGACAATATACGAATTTATGGTCGCCGTTGGTTGCTTTCAGTAAACGGTATCGTCATATACCGGGTGTTCTGTCAATCTTGTAATCAATTTTGTATGTGCACAAACCAAACTCATCCCATGAAACGTAATTAAAATGCAATCTCGTGTCTCGATCAGTGTACCTAGGTGGCGCTATTTTTTTCCCGAAAAGCTGCGTGCCCAGCAGGATTTGGAAAGGGTCTTTGAAATAAAATTGAGACTCCACCTCAATCCCATTATCAATCCTCCATTCTGTTCGGATTTGTGCCGAATTAGACCTCGGCTCGCTCGGCAATGAAGAACATTGGACTCACTTATTCAGGATGATGTATGAAATACTCCACCACACAAACTCATCAATCCTCCCTCCTTCTGTTGTGGTTTGTAAATGCCACCCAGTCTCACTCTTGTATAGGACCGTTGACACATTGCTCGGCTTCGCCTCGCGCATAGAAAACATCTTTCGGTCTCAAATCGCTGTCGATTCTAGAACGCTACCAAGCGATATGGAAATCCAACGTAAAAAAGGCATGAATCTTGCACCCGTCGTTCCTGAATAAACGTCAAAATTGCCATCTATAAGCATGGGGGAGGGGGGGGGCTAAGTAGCACCAAGTCAACGCACTAAACAGAAACTCGATACGCCTTCCCATTCTCCCGCTACGGCGTTATAGGTAACTTGACCTTTACGCAACGGAAAGGAATGGGGGGGGGGCGCCGTCATCAACGTGATCGATCGATATAGCAATTCAACTTCTAACCCTAGTCACCGAATAAACGCCAAAATAGAGAAAAGTGCCATTTATTTATGGGCAATTGGGGGCGCAGTCAATGCAACTCGATACGCCCCCCCCCCCCCCGGTTCCGACCTCTCGCCTTTCCTTCCATGCCCCGAGTGAGGGGTGGGAGTCTCTCAACGTCCGGCGTACGTTTCGCTACCTCTGCCTTTCCGTACCGCCCTTTCCTAATTTTTTCCCAGGGAAAATCCGTTTTACCCCAACAAATTCCCATGCGCTCTGCATCGCATCGGTACAAACTCCACCCCAATTCCATCATCATACCTCCATTATGTCCGGATTTGTGTCGAATTGGCCTTCGGCTCGCTCGGCAATTGTGCCATTGGGCTCACTTATGTAATCGTTAATGCCGACCGAGCCGAAGGCGAGTTCGGCATAAACTCCATCCCAATCCCATTATCTACCCTCCATTCTGGTCGGATTTGTACCGAACTCGCCTTCGGTTCGCTCGGCAATGGCTCGTTTGCTCAGAAATACGTTATTGCCGAGCGAGCCGAAGGCACGTTCCAAACAAACTCCATCTCAATCCCACCAGATACATGGTCATTTATCTACGATCCCTGATTTTTTATTTTCTATTCCTGGACCCTGACCTTTAATTTGTGATCCCCGAGGTCCGATCTACAATCACTAACCACTAAATTTTGATCCATGATACCTGCTCTTTCATATCTGATCCTTCAATGTTTATCTATGATCTATAATCTCTAATTCTTGGTGCCTTTTTTCTGATCTTTGTTACGATCTCTATCTCTAATCCTTAATTTCTGATGCTAATTTCTAGGTCACTGACCTCTAATTTCTGATCTTTGACCTATGATCTGTAATCATTGATCTCCGATTTCGGTTACGGCCGCTGATCTGATAGATTAGAGATCCGGAGATTTTTATATCCGTTTGGAAAGCTCTTGTGTACTTAAAAGCGTTTAAAAGCTTTCTTGGGTCTTTAAAAATTTTAGCAAGCCAAGAGAAGCTTTTAGAACCCTTAAGATCTCTACCTCTCTTCCAGAACCGAAGCTTGAAGAACGATCTCTAGAAAATTTCAAAGATTTCAAGGAATTTATCTATTTTAAAAATTCGAAGATTTCAAGAAGCAAGGGTTCAGATTATTCCAAAGCGTATTTCAAAGATTTTCAGGATTTTGACAATCTTAAAGATTTCACAACTTCCTAGGATTTCAAGAATTTCCATTATTTGGAGGATTTCAAGAATGTCGACAACTTCGAGAATTTCAAGGAAAGTCCCGGATTTCAAGGTTTCTTAGACTTTGGAAGATTCCTCGGATTTCGAAAGATTCTAAACATTCCAAAGATCTTACGAATTTCATAAATTTCAGGAGGATTCGCAGGAGTTTCAAAGATAGCAAGGATTTGAAGGGTTGCAATCATTTCAAGACTTTCAAAGAATTCACGGAATTCGAGAATTTGCAAGATTTTCAACGAATATCGATGATTTCGGGAATTTTAGGATTTCAAAGATATCTCGGATTTTGATATTTCAATTATTATTTTAAAGAACAAGGAGTCCAGGTATTCGAAAGAGTTTAAGGATTTCAATGATATTTAAGTAGGATTTCAAGGATTCCATGGATTTTAAAGAAGGCAGGGATAGCGAGAATTTAGGGGATTTTAAAGAGCTCGAGGATTTCAATTATTTCGTAGATTTTAGACAAATCAAGGAGGATGAGGAGATGACAAAAATTACAAGATTTTCCTAGATTTGGAGGATTTCGGCGATTCTGAGAATTTCCAATTTCGAAAATGTTTCGGATTTTGTTATTCCAATGATTTTAAAGAACAAAGATATTTGAAAGATTCTAATGATTTTCACGAGGATTTTTAGAATTTCATGAATTTCAAAGATTCCATTAATCCATCCATCAATCCATGTAACATATCAATGGTTGCCGATAATTTCCATTATTTCTGTTTGTTTGCGGATTTCAATCATTTTAAGATTTCAAGCAAAGCGAGAATTTCGAGAATATCGACGATTTCGAAAATTTCAAGAATTCTAAGGATCTCAATGATATCTCTGATTTTGTTATTTCAATGCTTTCATGTATTTTAAAGAACAAAGATTCCAGGTATTCAAAGATTCTTAGGATTTCGATGATGTTTACGATTTGATGGATTTCAGGGATCCCCATTCTAAAGATTGATAAAAATGTCGAGAATTTCAAGGATTTCATCGATTTCAAGCAAATCGAGTATTTCAAGGATTTCCACGATCTTGCGGATTTCAATAATATCGACGATTTCGAAAATTTCTCGGCCTTCGTTATTTCGATGATTTCAAGTACTTTCCAATAATAAGGATTCGAGGCATTGGAAAGTTTCTACGGATTCCAATGATTGTTAGGATTTCAAGAATTCCATCAATTTTAAAGATGTCAAGGATTTCTATTATTACTAGAATTTTGAGTTCGAGGATTGGGGGAATTTCAATCACTTCAAGGACTGCATAGATTTGAGGCAAATCGAGTATTTCAAGGATTTTCAAGAGGCGATTTCGGGAATTTCAAGGATCCTGAGGATTTCAATGATTTTTTTATTTGCATGGATTTCAAGAATTCTATGAATTTTAAAGATGACAAGGATTTCAGATTTCAGACTTCAAATAATTCGAGTATTTAGAGGATTTTTAGAATATTGACGATTTTGAAAATTTCAAGAATTTTAAAGATTTTCCGGATTCCATGGATTTTAAAGATGTCAAGGGTTTCCAGGACTCCAATAATTTCAAGAATCTCTAGGATTTTGATTATTTCTGGGATTTGAAGGATTTCATAGATTTCAAGCAAATCGAGTACTTCGAGAATTTCCAAGATTTTGAGGATTTCGAGAATTTCAGAGATTTTGAGAATTATTTCGCAGTATTTTAACGAACAAGGATTTCAGGTATTCGACAGATTCTAAGGATTCCAATGATTTTTACGATTTCCTAGATTTCAAGGATTCAATGAATTTTACAGACTATTTTCAAGGATTTCGAGAACCTCCAAGATTTCGATGATTCCACGGAGTTTGAGTATTTGAAAAATTTCTAAAATTTCAATGAATTCGAGTATTTTAAGGATTTCCAAGATTTTGTGGATTTCGAAAATATTGACGTTTCTGGGGGTTTCGAAAATTCCTCAGATTTTGTTCTTTCAATGATTTCAAGTATTTTAAAGAACAAGAATTCTAGGCAATCTAAAGAGTTTAAGGATTTCAAAGATTCCATGAATTTTAAAGATGTCAAGGGTTTGAAGAATTTTCAGGATTTCGAGGACTGTAGAGGATTTCTGGAATTTTAAGGAGTAGGAGGATTTGAAGCATTTCAATCATTTCATGGTTTCATAGATTTCAAGCGAGTATTTAGACGATTTCCAAGATTTTGAGAATTTTAAAGATTTGTAAAGATTTAAGGATTTCGAAAATCTTTTAGATTTTGTTCAACCATTTCAAATTTTTAAAGAACAAGGATTCCAGGTATTCAAAGGATTGCAATAATTTTTAGGATTGCAGTGATTTAAAAGATTCCATGAAGTTTAAAGATGACAAGGATTTCAAGGAATTCGAGAATATCGACGATTTCGAAAATGTCAAGGATTTCATAGATTTTAAGGATTCCAAGGTACACGTTTCAAGGATTTCCAGGATTCCGATGATTTCGAGCGTTTTAAAGAGTTCGAGGGTTTGAAGGATCTCTTTTGAAGAGCCTATAAGAGTCTCTCTTGAAATGCACTTCTTGTGCACATTGGATCCGTGTATAGATTTCATGAGCCAGTATTTCACGAATTCTGCCTGAACTAAAGGTGAGTTCGGCATAATGGCCAAAGATTAGGATTTGTTCTAGTGCGAGTGAGACGAACAACAGTTTTCTTTCGAAGGGTTGGTGCAGAATTTGCAGACGAAACCAATCGACGTAAACGATTTACATAAATTTTTCACGTGGAAAATTAAAAATCTGAACTAAATACAGGCTTGTTTCGTCTAAATTTAAACGGTCGCATGATGAGGATGTTGCCCGCACGATACGTGTTTAAAGGAGCGAGAGAGAATGAGAGA